ACTAAATTCACCACAATTTACATTACGTTTGCATAAAATTACTAAAAATTTAACTAAATTCACCACAATTTACACTTCGTTTGCATAACATTACTAAAAATTTGCCTAAAATTTCCCACAATTTAATGATAATTTACTGAAAAATTTCTTAACATTTGAATTAGGAATTCTGTAGGAATTCCACCATTTTGACAAAATTTGCCAAATTGTAAGTCCTCCATTATCCCAAAATTGTAACACAATTTACCCCAATTTACCGGGATAATTCTCAATTTGCCAGAAAAATTCCAGGCAAATTTTGCGACAATGACATCTGTTCGACCTGTGCTTGATGTTAGTATCCTATATGGTGCTATTCACTCAGAGTGTTGTGACATGTGCGATAGGATCCTTCTTAGGATAACCATTCCTTCCAGAGTATAATAATATATCCTCAAATGTGAGTTGTGTCAGTATTGTTCGGGATCCTACTATAATTAGTAGATTAATTATTGGTACAGTCAAATCTTAATATAGTGAACCCTTAATATAGTGAATTTTTCAGACAACTATAATAAATTTCCCCTTGCTATAACGAATTAACCAATCAAATTTCTTAAAATTTTTACTATAATCCTATAGCGAAGTTGAGATCTGAAACCTAGGGTTCGTTATAATAAGGGTTGACTGTAGTTACTGTACATTAGTACAATTGGTATAATTAATTGCATTACGTAACTGTAATCAGTGTTAGTCAGTGATCTAAATGACCTCAAATAACTCAAATGATTGGTCATGTATTATTTGGGTTATTTCAATATTAAATGATAAATGACCTAATCATTTAAAAATTACATCATAATTCTGGCCGACATCATTATCTTGGCCTGAATTATAAAGCATTAATTTTAAATAATTCAAATGACAAATGACCCAAATGACTAGGTCATTCAAAGGTCATTTGGAGGTCATCTCAAATGGGCAAATGACCTCATTTGCCATCACTGACTGTAATAACATCTATATCGTATCTGTACCTAAAAAACGTATAATCAAAAACCTTTAATTTGTGATTCAGCAATACAAGTAATTGTGCAAAATATGCGCCAATATGACACATGAAATGGATTTGGCTTATATAACAAAATCAGAAATGTAAAATCTAAACAGTTCTGATTGAATTTTAATGGTTGCGAATTTTATTATCTAAATTAACAGTTCATATTACTATAATGTCAGGACAATGTATGAATAAATTTTCAATAATATATTAATTAGATTTAATTTTATTTGTATTATTTACTATTTGTTATTATTTATTATTTGTTCTAAACATAAAATAAAATTTTTTTTTCATCCAAAGGCATAAATTTAATATAAAAATTATAATGCTATTCACTATTTAATGATTATATACAAATCTTATTATACATGGTAGGACTTCGAGGTAATCATTTTACACTGGTGATGCTAATAATACTTTGATTGAACCTACTAAGCGAGAGGTTTATACCTTCTATATAATCAGAAGTATGATACTTCTCCATAGCAGGTTCTATTGATCCCCTTCTCCTCAGATTGGTGCTATTCACCTCCTGTTAGACTTCATTTCAAGTTAATATTCTAGATGAACTTTTCCAGTTGTATTATAAGAAAGTTCTTCTTGACTTGTAAGTAGATATTGATTTTATTGATTAATTAAAGGAAGTTATTAATTGTTACTTCTCTTTTAGCTACAACTTTGTAAATATCATTCTATGATGGACTGAAATATAAGTGAATTTATTACATATCAAATTTCATCAATTTTAAATTTTTACGAAAGAATGTGTTTGAATTTCAATTTCGATTGAATTGAAAGTCACATATAAAAGTAATAAAATCCACAATAAACTCAGGCATAATTAAAGTGAATTCAAAGGCAACTCAGCATTCAGATGAACAAGAAATTTGGCATATGGAAGTAGCCAATAAACCATGCAAAAAAATGGACTTATATATGCTTGGTGAATGGTGATATAAAAAAACTATGCAAATGGATATTTTGAATTTAATAGGAATTTTACGAAATCACTTCAATTGTAATATAAAACTTGCCACTAAAATCAAAGTATTCTGTACTCAGGTGATCGGTAAGTAATAGTATATTTGTATTTTTTTTGTATTTTTTTTTTTGATACCTGTTTTTTCAGATGCAAAAATGACTCTCTATGCTTTAAACATACTTTCAAATGGAAAATTTCTCAACTTCCAAGGTCAAAATCAATACAAGGCTCTTTTCAGATTAATGGTGATATTTCATTGTGTATCTAATAATTTATATTCATATATTTTATTTTTCCAAAAAAAAATACTCATTTGCCCTATAAAAAATTTTTATCCGAATATTCCCATTATTTCTCCGTGTATTCTGTAAAAATTCCGTGAAAATGATACATTCACGGATATCCGTGTTAGCGAGATGAAAATTTCCATGATTTAAGGTTATAAATTCCATTAAAATGATACATTCACGGAAAAAATATGGAAAGATAAAACACGGATCAGATTTTTTACAGGGTTGATAGTGGCACCTTTTCTTTAGGATGAGATAATAAAATAAGCACTGTTAAAGTGTCTTTTAGAATTTGTATTAAAACTTATGTAATTGAAAAGTAAAATTTGTATTAATTTTATAAAGAAATTTACTACTTAATGTATCACCTTTCAAGTAATTTGTAAACAAACTTGGCTGCAATTTTACTTGTAAAATTGATTTTATATACTTCTTGAGATGTTATATTTAAAATTTTGTAATAAATTATTAATTAATAACTTTTTATATAGTTTATAAATAGAAAATAAATTCTTTAAATTAAAATATCACTATTTATTGATGCAATAAGAGAGAAATCTAATAAAGCGTTATGATACAGCGCCAAATTTTTAACATGTGATTATATCAAGTGAGTGTAGTATCATTCGAGTATGAATATTCGGTTGCTGCCGTAATGAAATAACTTCTGTTCCAAAATTTTAGAGGACCTTATTGGTAACACGAAGGGTTATTAATAATAATAAATTCTCAGTGGAGATTTACTTCATTGGTTAAAAAAAAATTCTCTCAAGAGTTTTCATAATTAACCAGAAAGGGGGGTCATTTTTTTTGCGAAAACTGTAAATTTGATCACATTGTTACACTAAGAAATCCGCAAGTTTAATATTAAACTCGTTTTAGAACTGAGTTTCACTTAAAATTCCTGTAAATTACTTGAAAAATAAGGAAGCCTTCTGACCTTCTGACCTTTCATTCTTTGAAAAACAAAGTCATGCAACATTTCGTTGACCCTTTTCTATTATTACTTCAATGTTATGATTCGTTAATCAGTGTGGGGGAATGTGGGAATGTTTGATGCTTTCCATTATTCAACATATTCATAAATGATATTCCCGTTACTTTTAATAGTTCATATGAGTATGGCATGTGTTTTTCCATGCACGTGATACAATATTTTTTTTTTTTATTCTTCAGAAACAAAACCCCGCAAACAAGTAACGTGCATTATTGTTTGGTAGAATTTTGGTAGTGTATAAATTAACGCCCAACTTAAGCCATATCTATATTTGGATTTAACATCATTTTGTCATAATATTTTTTTTAACAGTTTGCCCTACAAAAAAAAATAATAATTAATTTTATGTCATCGAAGTTCTTTGTATATTTGGTATTAAAAATAGATGATTTTTGAAAAACTGAGATTCGCGGAATTTCATGCAATATTATTTAAGAGAATTTTTCCCAGGTCTTTTATGTATCACTAGATTTGCATATTGCAATCAGAGTTTTTAGTGGTTAGTCCATCTCGCTATTCATCGAATGGGCTAATTATATGTGAAAATTATTTTAATTATATCACATGGTTTAATAATATATACATTATATACTAGTAAATAATTAATATATTGTGAGCCAATTATGACCTGCTTAAATAGAAATAGTATAAAAAATTCTTGATGATGATTATAAATATTCCCCCCTAGATATTTTTTTTTTTTAAAGTCATGAAAATCCCTTTTTCAATCTTCTCATATTTTCAAAAAAATTACTAAAAAATGGTACATCTTACTCCTTCGCCTTTATTTCAAATACGTTTAGAAAATGATAGTTTAACAATGCATGGATCACAATCCGAATCGGTTGGTTGTGTTCTTCGTGGCCAACTTGTTTTAGCTATAACTGAACCAACAAAATTTAAGGAAATAAAATTATCATTTCAGGGAAAATCTAAAGTTGGATGGGTAGATGGTGATTATTGATCATATTTTTATTTTATTATTTATTTTATAGCATATAATCTAAATTTATTTTCTTTTCTAAAGGTGGAGGTATAGGACAATGTTATAATAACGAAGAAAAAATTTTATATCAACAAGATTGGAAATTTTTACCTGCAAGTAAGCAATATCATTTATTAAAACCTGATAATTATCATTGGGAATTTGAATTGATACTACCAGGAACTTTACCTGAGACTATTGAAGGTTGTCAACATGGAAGCGTAAAATATACCTTAAAAGCAGTAGCGGAAAGGCATACTTTTGCCCTTAATTTACACACTCATAGAAAAGTTACTTTAGTAAGAAGTTTATTATCAGGTTCATTGGAATACTCTCAAGGTGCTATCTTAGCAAATAATTGGAACAATAAAATCGATTATGAATTTTCATTAGACTCAAAAGTTTTTAGTCTTGGGGATAAAATTCCAATAAGGATAAAATTAAGATCATTAGAAAAGGATCTTAAAGTTCAAGAAATTATATGCGTATTCAAAGAATATATTACTTATACAGCTGGTGTAAATCATAAAACGGATTCAAAAGTAATAAAGATCGCTAGTGAAAATAATTTTTCTAGAGATGTAAATTCTTGGTATCATCTTATGGAAATATCAATACCAAATGATTCAATCTATTGTTTATATGATTCACAAAATGATATTATTTGTGTAAAACATAGGTTAAAATTTTATATAACTTTTGTTGATAAAGTACACAGTCAACGATGTGAATTAAGTGCTGCTTTATCAATAATGGTTACTCCAGACTCTTATAGTAGTGATAATATGAATTTACCCGCTTATGATGAGAATCATTTGAGTAAAACCTATTTTGAAGACGCTCTTTCAGATCATTCAACAACTTGCCATTTTGTTAATTCTTTATATGATGTTGAAGAAATGAACAAATTACCTTCTTATCGTAGTATCGCTTCCCTTATACCTGTCCCTCTTGCTGATTCTTTATTACCACCAACATATGATGCTACCATCAATAGACACTAAATGTTTGTACAAACATGTGAATCTGAAAAAATTTCTCACTCTTAGACATTTTTATAGAAACAATATTTTATAGATATAGAGTCAATAATTCATTTAATTATTGTTTTTGTAAATAGTTTTCTTTTTAAATATCTTGCTCATAGTTTTAATATTTAATTACACTTAGCATATACAACGGAAAGAAAAATTTAAATATTTATTCATTATTTTCAATAAAACATATCGCACGTCATTATAAACAATATGCTGATTCCATCACTATAATTTATATAATAAATATCTTTTTTAAAAGGGCATGATGGGGAGATTGGGGAGATGAAAAGGCATAACATTGAAACAGCACAATACCATACGCGTAGTGATTGATCGTTATTCCAATAGCTTTGTGTTATTTAGTGTCATTCCAACACTACTTAATAAAATCTTTTTCAATACATTCGCGTTCTTTATCTAAGCTATTCCTGGGATAATTAAGGCCATTGTCCCACACGCAATCTCTTATTTCCAATCTTATCTATAATCGTGTCTATAAATATCTTTATCCAATCTCGGTAACTGTTAAAAAAACTTTTTTCCTGCTCTAACCATTTACTTTTTGCACCAACTCTTCCATATAGGATATGGTTATATTTAAGAGTTTGTTTTGTACTGTTTATAATTTCTCTCAATAAATTAGAATTTTCCTCCTTTAGCTGTTCCTTCAATATAAGTTGCTTAATACTCATTGGACTAATTGGTGAAAAACAATATGTTACAAGGTATGTGCAGAAGATATGACTGTGAAAGGTCTTTTTTTTTTCTTTTTATTTTTTTAAAGTCTAACAAATAAAATCAAATAGGATGAAAATGATGTTAATGAAATAGAAGTTAAAAAAATGGTTGCTTTACTTTTAAGTTGTAAATTCCAAAAGTAATAATTACATACAACCATTCCTATAAAATATTCAAATATCTTTCAGATATATAGCTGTTGAAAAAAATTTCTGGAAAAATATTTTTATTAATTTGTGCAACAAATAAATATTGGTAAATATATTTTTTATTGTATGATAAATAAATTACCAAAAGTACATTGTTAAAGCATTATCTATTCTTATTAATTAAACATTTACTTGGTTTAAATTTTATTACTTAGAAAAATTTCTTTATTTTCATTTATTAATTTGAAATTAAAAGAATTTTAATTATTTTTATTGTAAATTAAATATAACATGGTTTGAAAATTGAACATATTTTATATTTATAATTAAAAAAAAATGTTTATTATTATTATTATATTTCTATCTTAAAAGATGGTGCAGAATAAAAGTCTAAAACTACTTGTATTTATACATTTTAGAATTATAATAATTATTCTAATTATAACTTATTATAACTAATTATAACTCATTGTTATTTTTCTAGAAGATTTATAATTTTTCTAAAGATTTTTACTTTTTATCTAACTATATTATATAATTATTATATAATTATTATGTGATTATTATTTAATTATTATATCAAGATATTGTGTTTTATTTATAAAAAAAAAAATTTATTATTATTATTATATTCAAAGAAAAGATATTTTTTATTTAAAAAAATAATTACAATAAACTAAATTTATACTAAATAAATAACATTCTATTTACCTATAAATAATTAAATATAAATAATAAAATATAAATAATAAATATAAAAATAATATTTTAATTAATTATATTCTTTTTTTTTTTTTTTCCACAATGCATTTGATAGTTTATTAAACAGCAAAAAGAATTGGAGAAATACAAATTGCATAGCCTATTCTAACTATCTAATATTATTAACTACCAAATCACTCGTCATGCTATAAAGCACTTCACGTGTGCACTGTCGGGTAAAATTTTTACTCAGAGGGTATAGTTCATTTAAAAACGGCCATTCTTAGCATAACTGCTCCTCTTTTTACACAAGACATTCACAGGACCCACTACATTGCAAATAAAAAAGAAAACAAGATTATATTGCAAGTGAATAAAACTAAAATATAAAAATTCCATCCAGATCGTTCCTTCCACAAGCGTTCTGAAAAAGTAGAAGAGGAGTAGCATCTTCTATTCAAGTCATAGAATCCAAGGTACGTACAGCAAGACCAAAACTGACTAGCTGTAGAGGATGCGAACCATTCCATATTCCTAAGGTTGACAAGTGCGAAGCTCCATTTACCATTAGAAAGTTGCTTGTTGTTTGGTAAAATAGACTCTAACATCGGATGTCTACTGTTACAGCATAGGTTCTTGAACACTAGTAGCTGCCACCCTACATTTACCCCATTCAACCATCCAAAGTAAGCTCTATTTCAATTTGTAAAGTTAAAAGAGAATTAAAACTATTACTAAATTTAAATAATAATTTAAATAAAAATGATGAATAAAGAAAACAATAAGAAAAAGATAAAAAAAACAAGAAAATCTGAACTCTATAACATCAGTATTTATCTTTATCCTTCTTCCTCTGAGGTGTGTATGCACAGTCAAAGATGAGATCTAAAACCTTTATCGAAGGTTGTTTAAAGAGAAACCGTAATCGGTTAGTTCTACAATCTCGAAAAAAGAATGACACCAAAAAAGCCATTAAAATTCCGTAAGTGGTTATTAGTTCCGTAAGTTGACCCAAAATGGAAGTTATCTTTCTTGTTGAGTATGATTTGTTGTTGTGCCAGCAAATTTTGGAAAGTAGTATCCAAAAACGCGTCAAGTTTATGACGTGATTTAATTCAGAATTCATCAGAAGGTGTCCTAATTGGAAGTCTTGTGACTTGATGAATAAAAATTACTGGCGGGAAGGAGTAAATAATAAGCTTTGAAGAAAGTGTTGAAGGAGGTGAAGGAAAGTCATGTTAAAAGCATTCCAGTAGGCTAGTAAAAGTCTCCCAAAGGTAGTTCTTCGCGTGGTGCTTAAGATGTTGTGAAGCTGTCACTAAAGTTGCTTGTCGAAATTAGTGAATTTTGTCATGTCGAAATTGTCGAAATTATTTTTCCATTTCATCATTTGCATTTTAGTCAATTTTAATTAAGGTTGCTTGCTGAAACCTAGGGGTTTAGGCAAGATGGCGTTCTGCCGAAAAGCGAAATTCTGCCGAAACTATATTAAAGTTATATTAAAAAACTGGCGAAACTTTGGAGAAAGGTAAAACTGCCGAAACTTATTATAAATGCCAAAACTGCTGAAACTCTGCCGAAACTATAATAAATCTATAGTAAAATTTTGATGAAACTAATCGTAGGATTTTGAAGAGGTTTAGATAAGCAACCTTAATTTTAATAATAAAATAATTTTGTCATTTTGTCATGTCGAAATGTCAAAATTATTTTTACCATTTTGACAATGGCCTTTTTATTTTCAGCAAGCAACTTTAGCTGTCACGTGTTTTTTGATAACTTTATCCAAAATATTGAAAAGCGCCAGTCCGTTGGAGTATAATATGTTTTGTTGTAAATAGTTGACGAAGTCTTCAGTAATTAAGCTTTCGTCGTAGACTCTTTCCATCATAAAAGTTATTATTTAATAATCTTGAAGTCAAATAATTGTCTTCATATTATTATTACTTAGCTTGCATCGTTATAGTACGTTCTGTCTTTTTAGTTCCATTTTTGCGTACTTTCAGTTCAACTTTTGTTGTCCTGCCTACACGTTAAGGATTTTGCCAAAACTCAAAAATAAAAAAATTACTAATACTATAGCGAAGGGGTAATAGAATAGTGTATTTAAGAAGTAAAATAATAAAACTTAAAGAAAATAAAGTGAAAAATAAAAGTTTATAATAAAGAAAATTTTTTTTTAAAAAAAAATGGTCATGAACGTGACCGGAAAGAGTTTTTCAATTAATTATATTCTAATACTATATTATATATATATATATATATATATATGATGGTATTTACTAAATAAGCAAAAACATATGGGCCGATCCTTGGAATCTAATTTTTTTACACAAAAATAATTTTATTAAAGCAAATATAAATTATCATTTATATAAGAATAATAAATTTATACTAGATAATGCAAAAAAAACCAATTAATTATATAATTTTTAATTTTTTTTAATATAAGATATCATTAAAATTTAAAAGATCAAATATAACTCTTATGACAAAATCATTGATAATTTTTCGTAGAAATAAGCTATACAAATAAATTTACATTAATTTGAAAGAGAAAATCGAGATCTATCTAATGAATCTAAAATCAAGTGAATTGAATCACTAGTTGTTCAGTAATCACGTTCAGTATGTTTATTGAATTTTATCTAAATTTGATCATTAATTACTTCACATGTAGTGATTCAATTTGAATGATCTTTGCTCCCTAAGGTGATGCCAACTTTTATCTTTAAAATAAATTTAAAATAATTCGTTTAATATATGTAGATGTTTAGGAATCATCAATTATATTATTAATATAAAATTTTATAAGTTTGATAAAATCTGATATAAAAAAATTTATTAAATACCTGTAGATGCAAGCTACACGAATGAAATTATATTCATTTGAAAGAGAAAATTGAGGTCTATCTAATAAGCCTAAAATCGAACGAATTGAATCACTGGATTGTGAATAATTACGTCTAATATATTTATTTTTAATTTTTAAATTTGATTTGACTTTGATCGTTAATTACGCCTCATCCAGTAATCCAATTTTCCTGATCTTTGATTCTTACGATAGAGCAAATTCTCAGCTTTCAAATGAATGTAAAATGATGACGTTAGCATATCTTTGGGAATAATAATGCACGATTTTGTCACCTGCATAAAGTCCGATCTGAAAATTTTATTTCTTACCAAAAAATGCTTTCATAAAAGAATCCCAAATTCTTTTACTTTATTTAAAAGATTTTATTTGCCATTTAAGGATTTTAGTAGAATAAATCTAATAAAATAATTTTAAAAGATAAAAAACAAATATATAATTAGTTATTTTGAAAAAAAAAGAATATCTTATTATTCATTTTACAACTATTTTACATCATAATTATTTTTTATTTGCATGTATTTTTTACAAAGAAAAAACAATAAATTAAAGCTAAAAATTATGAAAAAATATGTCTTATCTATGTATATAAAATATTAAGTTTTTTCTTTTACTTACCACTTAAAAATAACTGCTATATTTGCTTATAAACTTTTTTGTCATATTTAATAAAAG